GTAAACATGAAGGAGGTCGGTTGTGAAAAAAAAATACGGTACATCTATTTTTATTCATCTTTTATTGACTGAAAGAACTTTATGGGCTCGTTCTCGGTAGGTACAGGGATTGGAATTTTAAAGGAAAGACCACTGAAGTCATATTTGGTGGCGAAATAGTATCTTGTTATTTCTTGACTGTTTCTGTTTCAAAAACAGAAAATTTAACGTATGCTAATGTGCACTACTACACTTATACTGAGGCATGCTAAAACTGTTCGCAGATTCTTGCCGTGGTGGTGTTCTACTTTTATTCAGGCTGCTTTCGACTATAGCTATTGAGAAGACGTTACAAATATTTATCAGAAATAATGAATGTATCTAATTCCATAAAATGTAACAAGGTACGATATTTGCAAGGTACCATATTTGTGTTGTGAATTTATTTGTTTTATGGATTCACTTTGACTCCGTATGGGAAGGTGCCATTTTTTTATGCACTTAAATTTCTTGTTTGACAATTGATAGTTTTTAAATATTATTCTACTATGCAGAAATAAACGCTTTATGAATTTCCTTCGGTGTGTATTGGTGATTTCATGAATTACTTCTTGTGGGTTTTGGGGATTGATCTTAGTATGTATGTTGAAATTGCAAGAAAAAAATGTTCACAGGAGGATGAAGGGTTTATGGTGTCACTCCAGTTTAGCATTTGGTCAATTAAACATCCTGTGAGGAAAAGGAATTCCAATCAGTTTTCTTTGTACCAGTTAACGTTGAGCTAATTGTACTGCAGGGCTTAAGCAAGCAGACAATGTTTGTCACAACAATTATGTGTTCATGACATCTGTGACAGTGCAGAGGAAGCACAAGGTATGTGGATGCAAACACGAACATAATTATTGTCTTTATGTTGTGCAAACCTTCAAGAACAATCAATGACAGTATTTGCACGCACAGCAGCAAGAAATTAAATACAATGCATGACAATTGTTAATGGGATGAGAAGAGTACTGGATACAAAGTAAACTACATGCATAATTATTTTGGGTTAGAATGTAAGACACAAGGAGTATGATTATAAGAATAACTGGAAAATATTTTGAAAGAATAGGGAAGTTTGCTTTGTTCGGAGATGATTATCTTAAAACAAGTTCATACGTGAAACGTTGTTTTGCTTTTGACCAATTACGTGTGAACATGTGAACGCTAACTTCCGCTATCTTCGCGACGGTTTCTTTCTGACCAATCACAACCTCTTTAGTTTGTGACGAGATGCGCATGCGCCTTTAAAGCCGTGCGCTCGACGAGAAGTTAGCAGTACAGCTAATCTCGCTGGTAAACACCATGAGATTTTGATTACTTAAATGATTATTCGACTTGTACTGTGCTTTAATATGTGTTTCAGTCACACGTAATTATCCGTTTCGCTGGAGTACATGGTCCCAAGCGCTAAATCATGTCGAACGCGCCAAGTTGTTGTCGTTGTCGTTGTCGTGTGCTAGCATGTTGCGGAAACTCTGCTAACGTACGTCTTTTATATTTTCTAGACACAAAATGGAGCCCCAGCAGGACGTGCAACCACCAAGGCAACAGCCTATGTTTTATATCTGTGGAGGTAACTGTTGCTTTTGCTACATAAAAGTATTGATTTAATTATATGAAGTGACGTTGCAGATTTTGATTCCATATTTATGTCGTAACCATGCGAATGGTGAAGAGCAGACTATTGTACCGTTTTCCAAATTTACACTGTACAATTTCCAAATCAAGAGATATATTTTAAATTTTTAAAAAATAATTTCACCTCCCCATTTCAACGATTCCGTGAATTGTGTTCAATTTCCAAATCAAGAGATATATTTTAAATTTTAAAAATTAATTTCACCTCCCCATTTCAACGATTCCGTGAATTCTATTGTATTTTAGTCATTTGTGTTGTGCGTGTTTGCAGAGTGCCACACTGAAAACGAAATCAAGGCCCGTGATCCAATCCGGTGCAGAGACTGTGGGTACAGGATCATGTACAAAAAGAGGACAAATCGATGTATCCTTTTGGTGTCTGCATAAAAAGTGAGCGTATGTATGAATGAATAATATCAGTTCCTTTCCTTGACTGGTGATTCATAGTGGTTGTGTTTGATGCCCGGTGAAGTGGATCCTTTTTTGTTTTCTTGTGAATAAACATGTGAATAAAATGGCAAATCAATAAGTGACCCACATTGAACTCCTTTTTCTTCTATGTTTTTTGTTCTGGAAAACTGGTGGCATATTTGCCACTCGTCCTGCACTACTATGTTTATGAATGATTATAATGTGAAAGAATGATTCAACAGTTGTTGTCATACAGTCTCCATTAGCACAACAAAAATCATATCAACAACAGATGCTAGCAGTGGATAAGGAGCATCACTGCACAGCCATCGCCCCTCCCCTTCAAAATGAAACGTCATTGTGGGTGTAACCTATCAGAAACCTCCCATCCAGATGAAGCTGCTGCAGCTTTGAGAGCGCAGGAAGAGGAAGAGGAAGGACGTACTGCTGAGGCAGTGCGGGCATGGGGAATGCACAGGAGAAGCCTCCCGACAGTAGGGGACCAGATCGGACCACCACAACAGCAGTGGGGGCCATGGAAAACAGGAGAAGAACCAAGGTGATACCTAATGGGAACGACGAGGGCACCCAGTCTCCCCGGTGCCATGCAGCGGATGAAAGTTATCTGGATGCCCCAGCTGGGGGTCTCCCTCCTCACCTGGCCCGCATCAAAAACGAGGGCAACTACCTCTTTAAGCACGGACAGTTTGGGGACGCCCTGGAGAAGTACAGCCAGGCCATTGACGGATGTGCTCAAGCAGGTCAGTTGACAGACAATGCAAATTGTTTTTGGTATTTAATGTTTAGATTTTTACACACGCACACACAAAAGGGCACATCAGTTTCGCTATGACTAGCGGTGCATCGATTAATGGACAGCTAATCAATTAGGAAATTAATTAACGAATCATTATTTTTATACTTTTTTTTTTTAATTCAGAATTACCCAACTGCATCTTGCGTATTTACGGAAACCCTGTACATTAGGTTTAATGTTATCTTTACGTCAACACAAAGTTAGAAGACTAAAGTGTCTGTTTACAAAAAGCCATTGAAGACTAGATTGTGAATGATATTTCAAACACTTTTATCAGTGACCACTATCAAGACTTTGATCTTCACGAAAACCAGTACCATTGGCTGACTGCACAAATATCTCTTTGATATGAACAAAAACGGGAAAGTTACATTTGCTGACGTGTTTACAGAAACATACAATAGGTTGCCTGAACTCTATAATGTCGGTGTAGCTAGGTTAGCTCTCTTAATATTTACAGAAACCCATTAGATTAGATTAGATTAGATATCCTTTATTTGTCCCACACTGGGATATCATTAGGGTGACTGAACATTATATTGTACAAAAACCTGCACTTAAAATGGAAGAAGTGTCATTGACAAAAACAACAAACAGATATTCTGTCTTGCAGGCATCAGCAACCCAGAGGACTTGTGCATTCTGTACTCCAACCGGGCCGCTTGCTACCTAAAGGACGGCAACAGCGCTGACTGCATTGAGGACTGCACCAAGTACGTTTGTGATGTGTATGTGTGGGAGGGCGGGGGGTGGGGGGACAATGAACAGTGACCCGCAATGGTGTGCGATCCTCTCAGGGCTTTGCAACTGCAGCCGTTCTTCCTGAAGGCGCTGTTGCGCAGAGCCATGGCCTATGAGACGCTGGAGCGCTACAGCAAGGCCTACGTGGATTACAAAACGGTCCTGCAGATCGACACCGGCGTGCAAGCGGCGCACGACAGCGTCCACAGGTCAGGTAAAAAAACAAAAAAAACAAAAACTAAAGTATGACTCCATTAAATGACATAACACGACAGAAAAGTGACATCAAATGAAATTGAATTTGACTTGTGTACGCTTTTCTGTCCATTCAGGATCACCAGGATGCTAATTGAGCAGGATGGGCTTGAGTGGCGGGAGAAGCTTCCGGAGATTCCCACCGTCCCACTGGCGGTGCAGCGGGAACACCGCGAGAAACCCGCTAGCGTCCAGCAGGCCCAAGCCAGGGCGGCCCGGGCCTTGCAGGAGGAAGGTTTGTGTGTGCGTGTGTGTGTGTTAAAACATTCAGATAGTGTGTAAAATGCGGAGCATCAATAATGCAGAAGGGAAGGAGTCACATAATGTCGCTGTAATGGAACAATCCAGATCATGTTTCTTCCTGCAGTGCGCTCGTCACATGACTCCGCTGTTAATATGATTATTATTCCTGCTCGCAGCTGACATCACCCATTTCTACAATAAAGAAAAAGAAAAGCACATTGCCTGTAACATCTGGCATTCTTTGAAGTTGACAAAAAAAAAACAGACTTAGGTTTGTTGAAGACCAATAAACGATAGCTAACAAACGATAACATTTCACTCTCAACAATGGATGTCAATTTTTTTTTTTAATCAGCCAGGCGAAAAGAGTCCCGCTTGAGTGTGTTGAAACACGAAGGCAACGGGCTGGTGAAGGAGGGTCACTTTGAGGACGCTCTCCACAAGTACAGCCAATGCCTCGCCTTAAAACCAGACGACTGTGCCCTCTTCACTAACAGGTACACCTTAAGATGAAAGACACAAACCTATATAAAAGAGATATGAAATACATTCATCATGAAATAACACGTAGGCCAAAACCTAACATGATACAAATAAATTGCTTCATCGTACATGACATGAGTCCATAGCATATAATAAAATTGACCAAAAAGTCAAGAATTCACGTTTAAACAAGTGTACCACGACCAGATTATATAACATGCCATAAAATAAATCAATAAAAAAATTACTGCATTTAAAAAAAATGAACCATCTCACCCGAAAAAAAAGAAAATGATTGAAAAATGCAGAAAAGCGCCCGGCCGCCACACATTTACTGTAAGCTTGCTGAGCCTCCCTCAGAGCCATCTGCCTGCTGAAGCTGAGCCGCTTCCAAGAGGCCAAGCAGGACTGCGACTCTGCTCTACGCTTGGAGCCCGCCAACAAGAAAGCCTTCTACAGACGAGCGCTGGCCCACAAGGGTCTGCAGGTGCCCGCCTGTGATTGCAGTACTGTACTTAAAATGGAGAGGATGCATCCAAGCCATACATGTCGAATGTACGCTATCATGACCCAATGTTACATAAACATCTCGTTTCGGTAGTCAATTACTCAACACAGACAAACCACCTTCAATAGTATCGGTTTGCATACCAGCCTAAACTATCTGTATTAATATGTGAGGGTTCACCGTGCTGGATTTTTGGGCTCTTACCCAATCTCCGCTTGTCTCCACGCCCAGGACTACTTATCGGCCAGCGGTGACCTGCAGGAGGTCCTCCAACTGGACCCCAACGTCAAGGAGGCGGATCAGGAGCTACTGGAGGTCACCGCCCTGCTGAGACAAAGCCTCATGGACGACGCAGCGCACACGTAGAGCGGTATGACTCAAGACGTGATCTCTGCCGGCGGGGCTCATTTTTCCATTGCCTGCTGCCCTGAATTGCCCATTGATGCCACGAGATGGCGACAAAGCACTACTTTGTTTCAACTTAGTCTTTTTTTTCTATTGCCTTGTTTTATGTTCCATTTGGATGTTTTTGTGATAATCATTGAACAGGAAACGATCTTAAACATCACATGATCCTCCCCCCAGATGTGATGATGAGGTGCAGTTGTTTGCTCCATGCAGACTGTCAAGTGTGAAAACCTCCACGGCTGTCGTGACTGGCAAATTCAGAAGGGGCACAGAGCGTTGTCAGCACAAGGTGGCGTGGAAGCGCAAGTGTTTTATGTGTGCCTTGCTGAGATTTACACCACCGTTGATATGATACAGTGCGCCAAATTTGACTGCAATTCAGTTTTGAGGAACTCGTGTGCGGTGGAATCTCAGAAGTGGAATTTTCAGAATATGCCTACTTGAGGAGTCTAAAACAGTGATGCAGATCAAAAGTGTGACGATGATCGAACAGCACTTTTTTTTGTCAGTCTTGACTCAAAATTAATGGTTGCACAACATCAATGTGCTGCATGGACTTGATGTGAAATAGCACAAATGTACAAAATAAAAAAAAAATGACAGACTTCATTTGAGAAATTTTATTCTTTTAAAGGATATGCATTTGGATGCACATTACAAAGCCGATAATTAGTAAATATATGCTTTCCCCCCCAGAATGAAAAAAAAGATACACTGTAAATAAACATAGCACTCTTCTGTTAGCATTCAGAGAGTTAAGGTATTTTGCTGACAGTGAAGAGGAAAAACCTTGGAGGTTTTCCCCAAAAGGCACTGAGGGACAAACAAACACTGTATTTGCATTCATCAATTGTGAGAGAAAGGGTCCGAAATAGAAACTAAAGTATATAATGTGATTCATTCAAGGGAGAATCCAACTTAAAATACTTAAAAGATTTTGTTGTACAACTGCTACACAGCTTGACTAAAAATAGGAACTTTGGCGAAATGAGAGGCAACGAAATGCTTTTTAGTGATTTTTTTTTTGCATAGTTTCCTTGTGGTTTGTCGAATATTTTTTTTCCATTCAATTTCTTGTAAACTTACAAAAAAAAAAGAGACCCGACACAGGGTTGCGACATTAAAAAAAAAAAAAACTTTCCAAAATGGAAAATAAGCAAAAATAAAGCACATCTGCACAAACAATAATAAATGTTAAAAAGAAAAACGTATTGACTTATAACTGTGCTACTAAATGGTCCCTCTCAGTAAGAATGGGTGGCACAGTGGTGGACATGTCTTTTTTTTTTCTTTCTTTTTGTTGGTTTAATCTCCACCTTTGCTTTTCTCGAGTGAGCGCCTTACTTGCACGCGTACATTCAAGTTGACCTTCGGATTACCAATTTAAATCCTCCCGCCCTTCGCCATCAACGCTGACATTCCGCTTCCTGTTTTCCAGAACGAGACTTAAGACAGACAGTTCGTGAGGTTTTTTTTTTGTTGTTGTTGTTTTTAGATGTCTGTTGTGGTGCAGTCACGAGTGTCGGCGGGGGCGGCGTCTTCGGCAATATACAGAACCTCGCTAAGCGAAGACGTGGGGCGGTGGCTGAAGGCGGCGGCGGCGGCGTGGCTGCGCTGAGGCGGCAGCTGCTCCAGGCGGTCGTGCTCCACCTCGGGCAGCGGCGTGACGGCCGGCCCATCGCTCAGCTCCACCGCCTTGAGCGCTTCCGTCTCGCTGAGCTCAGCGGACAGGCGGCTGCAGTGCGAGTCGGCCACCGATGGCAGGCTGCCGCTTAGCGACGGCGAATCCAACTCGGACGAGATGGTGCTGCGGCGCTCTGCGTCTGCGTGCGTGTGGTTGACTTTGGACTCCGCCTTGCCTCCGCCGCGTTTCCACAGTTTCCCTTTGTTATTCTTGCTACCCGCCAAGGAGGTCGACAACTCCCTGGGGTGGCTGCCGCCCACGCTTTTACTGCTGCAGCTGGCTTCATCCAGGCTGCTACTGGCACTGCAGTGTCGCAACTTCTCCTCTTTGGACTCCACGTCTGCTTGCACCTCCAGACTGTTGTCTCTGCGCGATATGCATGCACATCAACTCCTTTCCATCACATATCAAGGCCGCACTAATGTCAGGTCAGTTTGTACTCGCTAACGAGCCTCATGTGAATCTGGTTTGTTTATCCTGAGTAACTTAAAACTACTGATGGATTCATGAATGTGTCCATATTAGATGCCCGCTGTTGATACTTTATGATCCACTCCTTAAGTGCTATGCCACCATCTGGTAACAGCTACATGCAATTGCAAACTCTTTAGAGAGGCATTCCTTATTTACAGATTTTGGTTATTTGCGGCAAGTGTGGCTGATATCGTGATTAACTGGAAAGGAACTCTACTAGTGGTAATTAAAGATTTTGCCAGCCCATCCTCAATGTGTATGAGTAGAGAATAACGTTTTTTTGGTCCAGTACTAACTCAAATATTATTGACTAAATTTATTTAACACTACAAGAAAATTGTAAAGATCTGAAAGAAGAGAAAATCAAGATCAGCCTATTTTTTCTGAATCCCTCCCATCTTGCATTTTATTACTACAGAATGTAACTGTTCATTTGGATGTATGTGATGTACATCTTCGTAGATTGTTGCACTGTTCAATATGTTTTTTGTATGATCTTAAAAAAGCAAGTGCCATAAATGCTATAAAAGCATATGATGGGTGATAACATTTTGCTGCGCTGACCTTTCTAGAGGCATGTAGGCACTGAGGATGGAGCCCGCCATCGCCTTGGTGCTGGCGTTGTCGCTCATGGTGCCGAGGCTGACGGTGGCCGACTCTCCGCTAAGACTGCAGCGCTCCTTCTGGACATCTGCCTGCACCTCCATCCTAGAAAATACACATTGTCTCTAGTACAACAAACTACACTGCTGTGGGATCGAGAAATTCAGTGGCCCTATCATTGAGTAACAGCCTCAATGTACATCAACTTTGTTATACCTGCATTTCAAAAAAGATTTGTCTATTTTGGATCACTTTAGGAAATGACATTAAATCTCAGGGTGAAAGAATGAGATTTAGGATATTTTTGTTGTTGTCAAATATAACGGGACAAAGTTTATCCAAAAGGTATGAAGAGGTAAAGGATCTGGGGCATTTTAGATTCATCCTGAAATTTCAGCCAATATCCCTGATTGGTTATGAATATAAAGACATCAGGCTGTCACTTCCTGCTCCCCCCCTACCTGTTGTAGCAACTGCCTGACAGGCTGCCGGTGATGCTCGTGCCAGCGAGGGCGGTTGTGCTGGCGTTGTCACTCATGTTGTCGCGTTGCGCCGAGCCAACGCCACAGCGCTCCATGTGGCTGCCGCTCACGCTGAGGCTCAGGCCCGTCAGGCCGCCCACGCTGGCGCCGTCTCCCAGGCTGCCGTTGTTTAGTCTCGTCTCGGCCACCGACGTAGTGTCTGGACGGGCCAATGGATTTTGCGGTTTTATTCAAAATCTCACAAGAATTCCGTTCAGGGGATTTATTTGTAATGCCACCACCACATAATCATCTTTTATGACTTGACTTTTTTAGAAAATGCTGGAAGTCACCTGTCGCTGCTGCACCGCCACCCATGTTTTCATTCTCGTCGTCAAACTCGATTCGCACGCCTTTGCCGCTGCCCGCTGACACGCCGCAGCCGCCACTCCGGCAAAGCGAGATGGGCACCACGCCGTAGACGTACGCCAGCATGATAGGCACGCCGATGCCTGCAAGTACATTTACTTTTTTTTTTTTTAAATGGGAATGAGTAGAGAAAAGTCTTGGCCAACTCCGGTTTGATCATTCAGCTGGAGTAAAAACAAACATTAACTATGCGCAGCAGACAGCAGCATAAAACATGGGTTCCCCTTGGAAATACCACCGTAACAAGCAGCTTGTGACTGATCGAAACGTTTGACATGTTAAATGTACAACAGAGAGTGTCACAACAAAAAAGATGACAGATTATTTCAATTTAGAGTAGAAGTGATGACGTAATGAACGTAGGAACACACACCTGTATGCACGCACTACTAAATACTATCACAAAATGGTATGCAAATGGTTTGTAAAGTTTATAAATTGGTAAATTGTTTCGCTGGTGATTCACGGGCTTGGTTTTTAAAAATCAGGGGAAAAAATCCTTTTTATAGTCGGGTATTGATTCATAATACCACAAATCAAAAATCAATGTATTAAACGGATGATTGGGAAAACCCGTGAATGCCATTTAGAGGTAATACCCAATTACGCCACCAGGTGGGGCATGTGTAATGCATGGTGAAGGTGACACGTCGGTTGAGGCTTGTGATTAAATCAAACGAAACAATCTACGCTGAAATTCAGAAAACAACAATTTTGTAACTCATATCAGTATCTCACGAGTTTCTTCCTTGTTATGACAACGAAGTGGTCGCTTATGTTGACGTGAGGAGCCGTTTTCCATCGAATGAGCTCACGAGTTCTGGTATGCAAGGCCTGTGCTTGATTAGGACGTAGGTCTCAATGCTAATATGGTCGAATACTTTTTTCTTTTGCTAAATTACGGCAGTCTGAGTTTTTAGTTTAACTGCTTTTGTTATTAATTTGTTGTTTTATGAATTACATTTGCTCCGTGTACAGCACTTTGTATACAGCGGTGGTTCTAAGTGTTCGATAAATACAGGTGAGTTGAGAAGACGCGGTTAGCCTGAGACAAACGTTAATCACGAGTAGCTAACCGCTACGCTAGCACATATGTTCCCTGTACTACGACTAATGTACGTCCATTGTTGCCTTTTAACTGTGAAGCTATCTTAGCTAAAGTGCCAATATTGAGATAAATTCATTCATTTACGCTGTGTAAAATCTATAGAAATTCACACAATTCATTGAAAGTCTTTCAATTATTAAAATACAATGAGTGCATTGTGGTTCTGCTACACTACAGTAATTTTGTATCAGTCTCCAAATAATTTTGTAATTATCTGTATATGTATTGCCTATGTTGGTTACAGTGTACATGATACTTTGAGTAATACAAGAAGTTTGAGTTCAGGATATATTGGGGGGGTGTCATCCAAACAAGGTGATTTGGGTGAAACCAACCCATGTTTTACAGCTTATTTTAAATTAAATAGGGTAGAAACGTTTTGGTGATGAAAGAATAATAATTTTTCATTTGGTACTTTGTGTTTACATTGTCACAATGTTCAAATTTTATTTTTTAAAGGGCTGACATTGAAAGAGTTCCTTAGTTAGAGAGAACTAAAAGTATCCTTAGTTAAGGAGTTGTAAGTGAAAGGAAGAACTTTCTTACCAACAGTCACAGCTGCCACTGCGGGTGACACGATGACAGACAGTGTCACACCGCCCGCAATCACCAAGTTCCTCTTGTGCTTCGAGACGTCTTTGCCCTCATAGCGATTATGGATCTGATGGAGGGGGGCCCCAAAAAAAAAAAATCACAGACTTGCTTATCCCCCACCACCCCCAAAAAACAAAAACAATGTGGTTCTTTATGACCCGAGGCCTCACCTTTCTGCCCACGTAAACTGGAATGCCAATTATCATAGCGGGGAATGCGATGCCTGCTATGAGGGCGATGCCCACGGGTGCACCCACTAAGGTGCCCAGCTGCCAGAGGATTTTCTTCTTTCTGCTCCACGGCTTTTTCCCCCAGAAGGTACAACCGGATGGACTGTGGGGTGGCGCAAAACGTAGAATGGTTTTGATCATTGTTTGGGCTATATTTACAGTTCAAGCTATTAATATATGCAAAGCTCAGTCCCAGCATCTGTCGCAGGACGGAGCCTGTGTGACTACATTTCATTCATGTGCCTGTGGGGAAGGTTTAAGCAGCTTACCTGAGATAGTGCAGGTCAGAGATCTCCTTCATGCAGAGCCAGCAGAACTCGCAGCCACAGACGGCGCACGTCATATGATTGCAGCTACCGTCGTTCATCTTGATGATGCAGGCGGCACAGCGCGGGCACGGCTTGATGTCGTCACCTAGGAGATGGGCATCGTCAGCACACAGATGCAAGTTTTACTGTGTGTGCGATGGCAATTTTAATTTGATTCATTTTTCTTGCCTAACAATCACCCACTGTCATGAGTTTCTCCACCTAATACTTAACCAGCTAGGCAGGGAAAAGGTGGTGTGTAAAGTGAAAGTCCCTGGGGCATTTCAACATGTTATGAAGACACCTGGGGACTATTTTCAATTGTGAAAAATGACATAATTTCTCCTCTAATATAAGTGTTATTTTTCATTACCAGCAGCACCACTCTCTTGGCTGTAACTGAGTGACGAAGAGCGGAAACCGCGCAGGCGGAAATGCTGTGCCCGCTGCTGCCGCGCCGTGTCGCACGTCTGGTTGGGATGCCACAGCTGCTTGCAGTGGTAGCAGAATTCCGTCCCGCAGCCCTCGCGGCCGCATGTGATCTTCGGGCAGCTGGCGCAGCCGAATGCGATGACGGCGTAACTGTGAGTAAGGAAGGGGGGCGGGGGGGGGAATGACACTTGAGTTAAAAGTAACTGACTGGGATGAAAACAGTGATGCAGTTTGTAAGGATGACACTAGAATGCACTTGAAATAAGGACACTATTTGGGTGGTTAGTCGTAAAAAAGATTTTGTCAACAACCAACTTTTTAAAATCATTTTTTGATACAAGTGATTATTCCTCATAAATGACAACTTTATGGTCATAAAAATGTAACACCTTTTTAACTTGTTAAACTTTTCGGTCAAATAAAATGACTTAAAAATCCCCCCTGCCCAAAAAAAACCTGCCAATTACAATTTCTTGTAAAATTACAAAAATGTTCTCATAAAATTACTTTTTTCGTGGAAAAGTTACTTATTTTGACAACATTCAGGTGTTAATGCAGCTCATGTAAAAATGATGACTCTTTTCTCTGAAAATGATAGCTACTCTTGCACTTTTCTGAATATGCGATAATGACTGTTAATAAAAAAAGGGGGGGCACTTAATGATTGCTGAAACCACCCAGTCAAAGAGGCATTCTTGCAAACAGCTGGGCTTTGACTCAACAAAAGGCGAGGGCTCATCAACCAATCAGGGCTGATCTGACGAAAGCAGGGAACGTCGAGTCTGGGGAGCGGGTGCTCTCATAACCGCGTGGCATGTGATGGCACCCTGGGGTCAATCGTAAGCTGGGCTCAATTCCAAATCTAACAGGTACGTCTCCCCTGGGAGCAAAGTGTGGACTCTGTGCCCGATACAAACAAACCAGACCTTGGCCTGACCCTCGCGCAAACGTCAATGCGAAGGGACAAACATCAGCCATTTGAGCTAGTTTGGTTGTGACTAATCGGAAACGAACATATACTGTCCAGGTTAATATTGTAATAAATGTGTTTCATTTGTTCAGTTTCTTTCGCAGCATGTGGCCCGTTGCTCATCCATTAGGGAATATATTGGCTCGAGAGACTATGGTGCTATTTATGTTTCAAAGATATTGTCGTGGAAACGAGAAAGGCTTGATGTTGTGTCTTGAAGTAGATGCTAACAATGGTACATAAAAAAACAAAATCCTCCATTTTTGAAAGCGTATGTTCTCGTCCTCGTTAGCTTCAGCCTATCACAGCTAAGCCTGGGCATAGACAAGCTTTCACACCAATGGACAATTTTGATCCTTCAATGAACCTGAGAGGGTCAGTGAAGACATAAACCGGTGCACAACTATACTAATACTAAGTGAATACCTGCATTGATCAAGGGCATCCCCTTTGAATTAATCAGCGTATTTCACACTGCCAATCAAAGTCAACTTTTTTTTTTTCAAGTACCACCTCATAAATATCACGCAAAATGTGTGACGGGCTTGAGGGGTATGTCAGTCCAAATCTTACCCGCAGTCAGGAGCGGGGCACCAGCGGCAGTCGGGCTCGGCCACCAGCCACCTGCGCAGCATGAACTCCTCATACTTCTCCATGAGGGCACGGTCAGCCAATATCATGGCAATGTCATGCGGGTTGAAGCGCTCCGAACACTCGGGGCAGCAGATGTTGACTCGTGACTCGGAGATCTCAATGCGCAGGTACTGGCGTAGGCAGTCGGCACATGAGCGGTGGTGGCATGTCATAATATCGGGGAAACGGTCGCGCGTGTGCCGGAGCAGGCACAGCGGGCACTCCAGCAGCTCAGAGGACCCCGCCGCCGAGGACGTTGACGCCGCACCCTGCACAGAGTGCGCCGACGTCCTGTCGGCCAAAGCCTCTGGCGGGGCGCTGTCCACGCTGACGGGGCCGGGGGGATCCAGCGCCGCTCTGGACTTGCGCTTGGCGTCGCGCTCGGATCGCCGCCGGCGTCCGAAAAGCGCCTGCAGGGAGAGGCGGCGCTTCTTGGGGGTCTTCCTGACAGAGGGCAGGCTGATGGAGGAGGCGGCTGAGTTGAGGTCGCGCTCCGAGCCGGTGCTCCCATGATGTTGCTGGTGCAGGATGCTCATCATGACCAGAGATCACCGGGTGGGGGGGTGGTATGATGGAAATAGATGGGGAGGGGTGGGGGAGTAGGGATGTCAAGGAAGCTTGGGACTCATGTAAACAAAGACATGATGGCTGGGAAGGGGTTTGTGTTGGAAAAACCTAAAAGTGGGGAAAGAAAGAAAAACATCATGAGGGATGGCCAACTTAAAAAAAAAAAACAATACCCTCACCATTAAGTGGATTTTTCACCACCCATTACTCTTGTGAGTCGTATTACTTTATTTGGCTGTAGAATACGGTGGTTCACTCTTTTATTCGAGACAGTTAAGAGAGTTGCTTAATTTGTGAACTCGCATCACTTTGCTGAAGTAGTACAACCAAACGGACAACAGAACAAATATAAATGAAGATTCTGTCACATCAATACTCTTGCAGGGGGTTTAAAGGAAAAAAAAAAGTTATTCGTTTGCATGAGTCATTAACGAACGGAAATTGTGTTTCGCGAAGTCATCTGCATGGAAACGGTCATTGTTTCGGAAACAAACAGAGTGAAAACAATGTTTCAGCAGTGCACTGACAATCACGCAGTGTAACGCAGCTGGAAAAGCCTGCCGAGAGAGTGAGAGGGACTTTCCATCTTGAGTGTAGTCACCGTTTGAGAAAAAAAAAAATGTGTGTTTCCACATGCATACAGTCAAGGTTTGTGGCTCATGCATTATCAGTGCACACACACAATGGGTTGATGTCCCAGTTCCTGAAAACAGGCCCTCGGGGGCAGGAAGCCCGCTGCCGAGCCACAAATGGCTCCCCACCAATCACTGCACTTTGCATCGGCTGACGATTAGTCATGTCTGTAATGAGTGATTTGGCCAAAAGTCACTGAGTATGGAATATTTTGGCCAGAAACCTGAAAAAAACGAAACAAACCCGGAGTAGTAACAATTTAATAGGTGACAATTAGCCGCGAGAGTGGCTGCCTTGACAGCAGCTCCTATCCCTGTTTAAATTTCTTTTCATCCTTTTATTATATTTATCCATAGTTTTTGTTCTTCTACTTCTCCCTTTCATAATTTTTGCTGCTGTAAATTGGGAATTTCTCCATTGTGAGACAAATAAAGGTTTTCTTATCTGAAATTAGCGAAAAGAACAAGCAACGGAACAATTTTGCTGACTTTTTTTCTTTTTTAATATCACACCATTTAAAATGTATGACAGCATAGTATAATAATTTCTATTATATGAATATCCCCACTGCTTCCTGTTGTCTGCGGCCAAAGCAAACAGAGGCGCGGTAACCCAAATACCAGCCGCGACTGAACTTTAACATTAAACACACACAAGAGGCCGTATCGCTAAGCCTTATGTTTTCCTTTAAGCGTGATCATGCCATCCGCGCACGTCATTTTCCTCATAAAATGTCTAATGAAGTGAAACGAGGCCGTGGTCTCGTGGATCGGACTACGCGAATGGGAGACGCAAGGTGTACAGTAGCAAGGCCTTTGTGATCATTACAATACCCTTTCCTGACCAACTGCTGCCAGCAAATTGTTCACTTGGAGTGACTATTTTTTTTTCCCGAGGCCCCATGCATTTTTTCCCCCCCAAGTATGAACAAGATCAGATTCATGAAACAATAATCTTTTGGTTTTACAGCATATACTAAAACAAAGCCAAACGAACCATTCATTAATATTAAAGTTTTTTTAATCGACGGCAAATAGAATTCATTGACTTCGTCTTGCAGTCTTTTAAGCGTTCACTATGACAGCGTCTCAAAAATGCAAACAAATCTGTGCCTTTATTACTTCAACTTTTCTTTTCATGGAACAATATATTAACATGCGCAGTGTACTTAGCCATTTCAAATTCGACTACATTGCGACGTCGCTTCGAATGCGATTCATTGTTTAACCCTAATACTGAGATAATTGACAGAAAATAAAATCATTTTCACTTCTGTACTTAAATACATTACAGATTCTGAACTTTTTTTTTTTTTTTTTTTAACGTCGCCTCACTCAAAGTAGTCGAATCTGTACTTCTACTGTTACCATCTTATCAGGAGTTCTCCTTTAATACAGTGCGTACTTGAGTGCAGAGAGTACTTCATTTTGCAACCTCTGCCACATTCGGACGTTCCAGACATTTTCCAGAACTTTGCTTTGACATTTCGTCTGTGCCACAGCCTGGTTCTGTCCCACCAAACGCCAAAACTATTTTCCAAAGCGATGCCACTGTTTACGAGCGACGTGCTGGAATCTTCGCCGAGGGTTCAGCCAATTCTTAATCGCAACCAAACCTCAGCGGGGATGACGTCATCTTCCTGCCATTTTGCAACTTTCGGCTTCAAAGTAACCCCTCGCACAATGACAATCTGGGAATGGGGAGATTCCGATTGGACATCATGTACGCTGGCGTCCGGTGACATTCCAGTCAAAGGGCAGACTTCCTGAGCGCGACAATGCGCGAGCTGCCAGTGCTGCACCGGGCCTCGCCGGCAATGTCGCTTTTTATAACCGCGTCTGTAGTAATGTAATTGTTTTCGCTTTCCCGCGGACGACAAAGTAGCGACCGGGCCTTCCCGTGCTGTCATTTCACACTGTGGGAAGAAAGCTATTGTTAGCCAGTGCGGCTCGGGTGAAAGCTGCATTGCTATTTTGAGCTTGTTCATCTGTCAGCCAAAGTATGACAACCTTAACAGGCGGGATGGAGAGGGCGCCGAGATGCACAATTCTTTTGTTGTCATTTTGCAAAAAAACAAAAAACAAGCCATACATGGCCGTAGATGACCAGTTGTTACCTTTCACACTGCCTGCAGAAGTTACCATTTCCCTCCCATTCGCTGGTCAATGTAAACACCTTGAACGGAGATAAAAGTTGACCCGGCTATTTTCCTTCCCTCGAGTTAACTATGCACGGACCGATATAAGATTCTGAAGGTATGTTTAACCACGAGTAAAAATATCACAATATTAAGATTACAGCTCCGAAATTCCTTGATTGAAATATTATGACAAATAAAAACAGCATTTGCCCATTGAAGAATACGTTTTGTTTTTCAACAAAATTTCAAAACGTGTACCGCGTAGGCGTTTGAGGTCTGCAAGTTCTGCTCCAGCCCCCCCCCGGACATCTTTAGGATTTCCCCGACACAATAATACTTGGACTCATGCGAACAATCACGTGACTTCTTTTAAATCCCGGCGGCTGTGTTTACTTCAGGACAAGGGCGAGAAAGAATGTGGCTGTAAAAAGACGCTTGGCCGAGGAAAAAAGGTCATCAAGCGGCCCTAAGAACAACTCTCGAGTTCCTATCGCCGCAGTTGTCTTTGTCGAGGGTAGCGATGTACCTTGAATTCATCTTAATCTTTCAAGTGGAAGCATTTTCACACCGCCTCTGGATGAGTGTGAGAAGAGCATTCATTAATAAGGGTTAGTAAATAAGCACTGTTCTCTGCAGTTGAAGCCTTATCTTGTCAAGGAAAACAGCTGACAGCCCATCATAAAACGTTTGTTGAAGGCCGTAATTTTTCATTTGCACTCTGTTAAGGTTAGTGATCACCAAATTTGTAAGCTGCGGTTGGAACAAAAATCCGTTGTCGCTGATTTGAATGACTCGACTGTGTTCATATTCTTGTATCGACTCGTATGAAATGCGTGCAATTAATGTTACGGCGAGGTCGACAGTAGCAGTCGTTGCCATTTTTTTTGACTGTTACATTATGTGAGCAGATCATGAAAGCGGTTGAGGAAAATAAAATAAAAGACACCCATCAAGCATGACATCCTGGAGTCTGAAAAGACGCCTTTGAAATGTTGCTGGACCCAAAACGTCAATTTAAACTAAAATGTCAATTATGTATGCAATAATTTTTTTGAAAACAAAAAATAGTTTGTCTGACAGCTTATGTCAGTTCCAAAATATTCACACAGTAAATAAAATATGGTTCGAACAATCATCAAAGCACAAGGTCCTGTTTTGCCCTCTTTGTGACTCCAAAAAGAGCAAGCACAATGCTGACAATGAAATGTTAAGAATATAAGAGGCTACTTAAAAACATTGCCCGTGGTGACCCGTTGCAATTAAATCCAATTATGACCAGTTAATGGTTTGCTTTTTTTTATTTTATTTTTTGCAAAGCGCAAGCAATCTGGGCATGATCTTGTCATGAGTGCAAGTCAACTTGGTTAAACGTGTGGTTTACAGGACCAGTCGAGTCGGTTTTTGTCGCAGGATTACTCCATTTCGCGATAATCGTGTGATGCAAGCAATAGAAAATGAAAGCAGTAAGGGGAAAATTTCAACAAAAGAAACGCTCATTGCGACATCCATAAGAGACAGAAGCAACAATCACCAATTTGAACTGAACGACACTGACAGCAAATATTGTAATTCTAATTGTTTTAACGCTAAAAATAATTTATTTCTGTCGTTTCTTTCTGTGATAGCCAATGTTAATGGCAATAAAATTTATGACTTTGACTACTTCTTATAACCTCTCCACGGATTGGATGATTGTTTAAATTACGCATTTGCTACGAAACTATATATTACGACTTTTGACGAGAATCGACGCACAGAATATCCCTTTCGAGCAGTTAGTGACGGTGGAAGGATGACGCGTGCTGACAATAACAAAGCTTGCCCGTGGAAGGGTCTATATTTTCTAAGAGCAAGCAACAGAAAATGTGTTTATATTTGGCGTTGGCTAATCGCGGTTAGCCTGCTAGCTCTCCCTTAGCATATCCGCTAGCGCCCAACTTTAATAACCGTCTAAAGAGGAGTTGCCACCGATTGGGTTTGACCTCATTTTCTACACGCGCCGCGGCTAGCCGCTTCAAGACTAAAGCATTTTAACCCCACGCAGGGCTGAAGGAAACTTTAAAACGAAACGATTGACCGCGCTGAACCTTAAAAGCGAAAAGTGTTTACATGCTAACCGACTAGCTCCACCATCGCCCCGAAACATGAAGGAAGTTGCAGCTTTCGAGGCGATCAAGAACGATCCCCGAGGTTTTCGCGTCTTTTCAGATCAACTTACCGTCGAAGTTGTTGGTGGGATTCTTACTCTGGGAGCTGACAATGCACCGCCGTGTGACGATAGTTCGTGGAAGAAGAAAAAAAGTTGCTTTGGACGACCAGGTTTAACGTACGTCCCCTGGGTGTGTGTGTCCGTCATCAAGCTGCACCATTGGGAAACTGGAAAGCGTTGGCATCCGGTTAAAATGTTTTTCATAATAAAATATCCTCGTTTTGGTCAGCACCAGGAGCCCTGTCAAATTAGATTCTTACCTTTTAATTACAAGGTAGTAACCTGATCTTTGTAAACTAAGCAACCAACCCTACATCACGTGCATTCAGGTTTAAAACGGTGTATTTAACATTCAAACATTCCTGTTTTAAAATGAGAACCTTATTAAATGTAAACATGTTTAATGTGTTGTACATAAACCTTGGAAAATCAAAAACTGCTTTCATGTAATGTTTTCAATGTGTTGTACGTATAAAAATAACTGACAAATGTAAGTCTGCATAGCATCCGTTTTAAAATGTAACATTTCCCAATAAAACTAATGCTTTTAAAGTAGAACCCTGTTTCAATGTGAATCAAAATTAGTGAAATCCTTTATTTGTTTTATGTGTGAAAGTAAAACAATCTCAAGCTATGTAATATCAAATTTAAACTCACCTACACTCATCCCTTTATACCGAAAGAACTTACCTAAACAAAACAAACAAAAAAAGCTATTTTTGAAAATTCGGTGTACGTTAAAATAAATTCCAGCGTGACTCGCTTATTTTGTGACAAAACCGGATGTGGTCTATTTGAAAAATGCTGACTTGAGTTTGAGTTTCAACTTTAAAACGAATGAATTATGACGTAATCCCTAAAAGGACATAAAAAAGGCGAGGTAGTTCAATATGAATGTACCCGTTCATTCAGTGAGTATTTAAAGAATACAAGTCCTTAAAAGGTCATGTTATTTTCATCAAATGAGACACTGTCACGCCTTTGCATTATCAAAACAGTTTTTTCTTTTTACTTTGGATTGAACACACAAAACATTCGATTGACATGATATTCATACATATTGACACAATAAGATTTTTAAAAAGGCAGTTTAACCAAGCTACATCTTTTTGTCTATACTCCATGAAATACACTTTACAATGGCAATTAGACCTCTATTGGTGCAGCAGAGGTGCAAATGTTTTGGCCTCTTTTCACCTTTAAAACAAGCAGGCACTTTATTTTCTTTAATCACGATTGAATGCCAGCCTTGCTGCTTTATTTTACACTGACTGTCCCTGAAATGCTTTTCATTGGAGAGGTACCTCCATCTCAACTTGACAAAACAACTTCAAACCATTTTAGTTCAGTGATTCCCAACCACTGTGCCGAAGTGATTCAGTTGTCCTTTAAACTACTTCACTGCCATTGGCAGCGACAGAAGTCAAATATCCAATCGAACTGGGAGGTTTGGCAGTGAATGAGTTGGTGAGAAAAAGAGTTACTAATCGCAAACGTTTATCTGTGCCAGTAGGCTGGACTTATATGATTGGCGCTATAAGGGTTGGGAAACACTGCTTTATTGTGTAAAATGGATGGCAAAAACAAAGAAACATTCATAGAAATATGTTTCAACTTGAGAGCATGCATCTGTGTAAAGTGCAAAAGCATTTGCCGGTTGTTCAACATCTGCAGCAAATCACTAAAACAACCTGAAAAACAGTTGATTTCAACAATGGAACATTATTGCAGAAGTGATACACAAAACTTGGAAGGCAACACAACATAGACACAGAAGTCATTGATTATTACACATACTTTGAAGCTTGCATTGTTTGAAGTTGAGAAAATGTTAGTTTTGCTTGTTAGACCCCCCCCCCTCCTTCAGACTTCATGTTCCCCATCTTTGGCCATTGATTGAAAATAGGACCTCCGAGTTGGTTTAGTCCAGGCTATGTGCCGCAGTGCGTGACATAGTAGTCGTGCACGTACATCAGCACGGCGACCGGTTGGCCAATGATGAGCGATATCCAAACGGCTGCGTTGCCGTAGATGCCGTTCAGGAAGCGACCCACGAACCAAGCCAGGGGAACCTGGTGAGCACGAGGTAGAATGGTGAGATAACGCTTTTTTTTTTTTTTTAAACGATGTTAATTTTTGGGGTGAGGGGGGATTATCCCCAAAAGAGAAATTTGAGTTAACTTCTGATCCTATATGAGCTTGTTGCTAACCAACACAGCGGCACCTGACATGTTTTTCTTTGCCTTTTATATTTTCTTTCTCTACATTTCTTTTTTTTTTTTCTACTCAGTTCAAACGGCACTTTCAATATAGGTAAAATGACCCCCACCTCTGCATTTGAGCAAACAAACATAATTGCTGCCACTTTGTCTCACCTGAGCCATCATGCCCATAAAGGCCCAGAGTCGGAACATCTTCAAAGGGACGCTCACCAAATACTAAGGAGTACAACCCAATCCAAAAGAGTTAATACGAACAGGAAAAAATCCAACCGTGAAAGTTTTTGGTGATTACCTCGTGGAAGAACGCGGATAGCAGAAAAACGGCGCTTTGGGCCACCAGCTTGTTGACGCCTCTCCTCAGCATCGGCTTGTAGAAATGTCTACAAAATGGAGACTATGAGATGAGTGACATGTAGAGTAGACAGGTATTCCTAATGATGTGTCCGCTCACCTCAGACACCACTTGTGAACCGGGATGTTCCAGTTGGCCCAGAAGTAGGTGACGCTCTCAGAGTTCCTGCATAAATTACATTTTTGTGTACTTGCATGTACAGTACATGTGATCGGAAAAATTCACTGGCTGTCTTTAGTACCGACCACCAATCTCTGTAGAACTCTCTGTCCCCAAACTGTAGCAGCTCGGCCACAAAGTTCATGGACGAGTGGAAGAACCAATAGAAAAAGATTAACCAGATCAGATGGTTGGGGACCTGAGGAGGAGAATCGAGAAAGATAAGGAGATGAGAAGATGGGGTTGCCATGCGACGCATGGTTTGACCGGCCCGGAAATACATCGGCCGAATTCCCGATGGCCAGAACGTCCCCGCTTCTGAAATAACAATTACCCATGTAACCTTTTATAATTTCTGAACACACAGAATGATGCTAATAATTTCTCACAATTACCCCTAATTTTACAAAATAAGAAACAAATATCAATGTGTAACTCTTATTTCGATCAATCTCTGCAAGTGTTGATATTTTCAATTGAGCCCTCCCACAATGTCCTGTGTTGTCGGTGAGCTATTTTTAGAACAGGCTTGCGGTCCACATGTAGTCCTCGGTGATATATACTCTCCGGTGTCACACATCGCAACACCCACCGCCATTAATTCTCATCCTACCTGAGATGCAAAGTCATCTACAGCGCGTCCCAGAATACACGGTGACACTCACCGCCAACTTGAGAAGGCGCTCCACCATTCGAGAAAAGTCCATTTCCTATGAAAGACACAACTGTCATTAGAATCACACAACACAACATGTTTGACATGTGACTTCACTCATCCTCCATCCCACCTGGAAGGGCTTCATGGAGTTCTGTATGGTCGGAACCATCCACTGGGAGAGGATCATGAGTTAGCTTATTGAATTCACTTTTGTGTATGACTGCAGCAACATTACCTGCTGTATTAACCCCACCAGCAGTTGCATAAAGAACAGCTGTAAGGAGAATCAGACCACACATTTAAAACTAACCCAAAACAGCCCTTTGGTGGGTCATTCCAGGATTTCAAACATCACCATTTCGAAGAGCCTCCTCAGGAGGAAGCGTTTGCGTATCCGGGGCGAGCGCGGGAAGTTGAGCTGGTAGCAGAGCGTCGGCGCAAACACAAAGTAGTACATGTCTGAGGATAAACCAGGTTGAGGTGACTAATCCAGTATTTCAAAATGAGTCCCCCCAAAAATTTTGTCACCTCTGTGGGTGAGATTCCCAGGGTAGGAGACATTGCTGTGCACGGCTGAGCCATTGGACTGAGCCACAGATGGACCTGGAAATCACATACAGAGGGTACAAGTGAGCTTGAAGTTTAATACACATTGTCAAAATCCACACTCACTGAGCTGATGTCTCACAAGATTTGCTAACTACAAAGTGTAACGAGACTCACATGAATAAGAGCGAGTCAGTTTCCTGGCTTTGGCTTGTCTGATCTCCCGGCACCACCTGTTGGTGTCCTGGTAGGAATACAGCTTGAGGAACAACACCGTATAGATGCCCAAGGAGAGGATACCGCCAACTGACAAAAAAATGACATACACTGTAACAGATGAAATAAAAGACACAGTAAACGTTTACCTACCAGGGGTAACGGAGGTGACGGTGAGGACCGTCACAGAGGGAAAAATCAGCAGTGACGTCAAGTTGAATATATGAAGAATCAAGCCAGTTGTTTCTGACACTGTTCCCTAGAAAGCCACCCCCCCGCCAAAAAAAGCGATTAGAATGAAAATAATTTCATTGTAAAATCATTTGTGTATTCTATGAAAAAATGTTTCAATATGATGTAATACTTTAATACAAAAAATATTAGTATTCATAATTACAATATATTTATCCTAATGATAAAACTGCTAATCAAATGAAATAAATGTGGGGAAAAAAAAGCAGAGCAGTATCTCACCACAGCCAAACGTCTCTCCGTATACAAAGCTGCCAAAATGAACAGGTTGGATGCTGGAAAAACAGCACAGCAAAGGAGAGTGAGACAAAAAACGTGTGTGTGAACTTTGGCAGGAATACTTGACTTTATGACTGGAACAGCTCTTGTTCAAAACAGCTGCATGGACTTGACCCTAGAAGGACTCATCTAAAAACAACTTGTTGTATGGCTGAAATGAAAGTCATTACAAAAATAAAATAGCATAAAAATAATAAACGCCACTAAGTACCATTCTACAGTCTTGTCCCGTGTGTGTCGGTTATAAATAAACACAGTGTGCACCTTGGCCACAAGAGGGCAGTACAATGGAGACATTCCTAAACAACTGATTCCGTAAGATGCAGTTTTGCTTTATTTTTTAACATTATATTCCGGTGAGTATTGTTGTATTGTCATTATTGTCTGTTGGCATGCGTTGCAGCACAATTTGTTTTCAAACATCCGTCGCTTGAAGGGTTATAAGTACCACAAACATTGATGCTAGTTTTGTTAGCCTGTCTATTTTGTTTTGCACTGTGTGTTAGCATTAAGCTAGTGGATTTATGTTATGTGGTGTGCACGATTCTCTTTGTTTTACATTTCTAAGTATGTAATAATTACGATCTCCTGCTTGTCACTTGACACCATTTAGTGACTCGAAGGCTCTTGAAAAACTCATACATGGAAGCACCACTACGAATGAAAAAATTGTTGATATGAACTCAAAAACACGACTAAATTTGCTAATACAAAATCAAAAACTAATATTAGTGACACACAAATCAAAAACATTCAATTAAAACATGAATTAAATGACGATTAAAAAAAGGAATTCAATGATGAACTGTCATACCAATGATGAGGCAGGCGGCTGGCCAGCTGTAGGGGTCTTTCAAGAATAGTGACACCACCTGGATGGGGTCTACCAGGATGCCATACCTAAGGGAGACAACAACAGCTTGGGCTCAGACTGATTGCAGGCAACAAATGTGGGGAAAATATATCGGCGTAAACTCACTTTATTATATTCTCCAGGAAGAGGCGCGCATTACTCAAGACCTGAGAGAGTCAAAAATGATTTTTTTACAGTTTTATTTTCATGTTCTTTGCAGAGTGACCACAATCGGCCATCATGAAGGGGCGGGTGCTTATTGTGGTCTCGTTCAATAAAAAGGTTGAGGTGTGGCCGAGGCGCACTGTTGACAACCTATCTGATAAACGTTTATGGTGGCGCTTGTTTCTGCTTCAATAAAAAGGTTGAGGTGTGGCTGAGGGCGCACTGTTGACAATCTATCTGATAAACGTTTATGGTGGCGCTTGTTTCTGAGGAATAAGGTCTGAAGTTTGAGATAAAAAAAAAAAAAATTGGCATGCATGCCGCCACACGAACACACACGAACAAACAACTTAAACTAATGAAAGCTGAAGAAAAAGTCAATCCATACGATCCATTTCGAATCTTTTGGTTATCATTACACTTTGGTGGTAACATCACATACAAAAAAAGAAAAAAATATATATACAATATTGCAACAAATTCTATTTCATGTTCTATGATGACCATCACACTTCTGTGATGTAACAAAAACCGCTCTAGAAAAAGCAAAACAAGTCACAGTAAATCAGTTTTCTGCTTTGCACATTCCGCCGGTTGCCTACTTCATCAAGCTCTCATGCAACGTTTGTTGCTCTTTCTAAACGTACTGTCTGACTTATGTTTTAGTAACCTTTCGCAAGGACTGCAGCAGGCCATCGTGGTGTAACCCTGAATAAGATGGCAAGTGGCATGCGTTACCAACGAAGAAGAGTGACGTGTTACTATAGACATAAGGTGAGTAAACTAAATGGATGATGACTTGTCTGTCTTGTGGGACATGTTACTTGGATGATATGATGCAACTGTATACTCACCAACATGACAACACACCAGTTGAGGATTCCTCTGTAGTTACTGAAGCCACTAGCAGAGCTTAGAAGAGACTCCTGTTGTACATGGCAGCTGTGTGTGTGTTCATATATATTAAAAAATCATTATGACAAGATATTACATCCGGGGTATGCGAAAAATAAAGAGAGGGAAATTGTTGAGCAAACTTTTGTGCTCAAGGGCCACATTTGAGTTATAAAAAGAACAGATGGGCAGAGTCATTTGGAATGAAGTAAACTTGAAAAAAACAAAACAAAACGTGATTGTATAACTGGACCAATTATCAATTGAAATAATTAATAATTTGTTATTCACAATGAATGCATGAACAAATTATCTCATGAAAAAAATGGAATAAAAAGTAAGAAAAAAATCAGATTTGAAATGATCCCATTTTATGAAAAAAAAAAAAACCCAAACAAACAAGGAAAGCAGGACTATTTATAATGTAAATTGTTGGTCGACTGGTTTAAAGAATGAAGTTGGCGGTATGTGGCCCCTGGGCTAAATGTTGAAATTTAGTATGACAAATATTTCACGGAAAAAAAAAGTACATTTTCATTTTGCAACAACTGTGCATGTTTGTAACTTGCCCGTGGAGAATTGCATATCATTTTTTGGCTGTTATTCACCAATGATGTTTCGCAATACAGTACAACATCACGATATGCTTGTCGCAAAACATGGACACTCGACTTGTTATAAAGATGCAACAATTGAATCATTATATCTCGAGCATTCGTGGGTTATTTGGGGACATTTCAAGAGTTTACCTGAGGTTTTGTTTTTAGCAATGCATGACGGTTCCACACCTGTCCCCGCTATATCCAGGTAATCCTGCATTTTCCTCAACTCCAATTAATTTACACAATGACAAATTACAGATATGTATTGAGTAAAAGTGCAGATATGTGCAGTACGGATAGCAAATGGGAAGAGCGGTCAGTCAGGCTGAAAGTTTAGTAGTTTACTAGTTGAGTAGTGAGTTCTGTGCAAATCTAGTAAAGGATTGCACGATTGGAAAGTGGTGTCATGAAAGGTTACCTGAGTCCCTCGCTGATTTCGTCCACCGGACTCTTCGGCTTTTTCTGTTTATCGACGCGCTGTTGGCCCGGTTCTCTATCAACCTTTCCATTGCTATTAAGACGCCTGGCCGACTCGTCCGTCTTCTTACCGGGACACGGCGGTGGTTTGCTCCCGTTGGATTGCTGCTTCACGCCGCCAGAAATTGTCGTCCTCCTTTCGCGGGCTCCGGGCCCTCTCATTTCGGCTCGATCATTCATCCTACTTCACGCAGTGTTCACCTGCCACGACATGTCGGCCCGCCGATGTCCTTCGCTTGTCAGTGGCCCCCGCAGGAAACGCGTGACACGATTACCAGCGCAGAAGTTGGAGTGTCCGTGCGTAAGCTCGTAGGGGGTGTTTCATACTTACGCTATCAAGATCATGAGGCAATTAGCTGATGGGTTGCCAGATCTCATCTATCCCCCTCCCCGCTTCACAGAGCCTAATATCTCCCGGGTGCCGTCATCTTTCACATTTTAGTCACCGAATTACGAATCCAAATATTATTATTTCACACTGAAATCGTAAACGACGCTAATGAAAAAGGAATTCGACTTTTCTTCCTGATGACTTGGAGGCAATTATGAATATCACCACTAGATGTCAGTAAATCCTAAAACAATGTGGCAACAACAAGGCGTTTGTTGGATAAAATACCAACCTAAATATCAACATATTGTCGCGGATGTTCTCAAAATTATATATTTTTAATTAAAAGTAGCAGGAGATGTTCCTACAAAGAAAGGCGAATGCTTCCAAACTCACCAAATCTCAAAATTCGTTTACTTTCCACGAAGAACTACAAACAAGTTTGCATGAAGTGTCACGAGTTGTAAGCAGCCAATCGCCTTCGACATTTTAGTCACGGGCTCATTTTAACCAATGGTTAGCGCAGCGGTTTCTTTCGTCGACGTTGTCTCACAAGGAGAGTCAAATGTTAGAAGTTGTGGTCGACGATGTTTGTAAAAGCCTTTATTTAGCTTCTAAATAAGTTTGTGTGTGCACATGACACAACGCAGCTTCGTTTTGTAGTAAGAAGTTTTTGAAAGGAGATGAAAACGCTCAGGAGAAAGAAACTAAAAGGGGCGAATGTACCTGTCACTAGAGGTAAGTCGCGCAAAGCCTAGCAAGCAAATAATAAAGATACAATTTGGACACATTCAGCTTTTTTTCTCCAGCGACTCACGTTACAACGTTCCCATTCGTGGTTACACTTCAATTATGGCTTTCCTCCGTAAATTCACCCCTGCAAGTGTTGCCTGCGTGGCAGTATGTCATCATCTAACAGATGGTTGATATTTATCACAAAACAATGATTTTCATGAATAAAAATTTTTGGATTGGAATTTTTGGTTCTGCAACACCTGCACAGTCCCAATAAACACATTTTGTATGTCACTGTTCCTGTTCCAGAAGTGGACTGTGGGAGGAAACAGAAGATGACTGAGATCCACCAGGCATTATACAGGTAGAAAATTATTGCATTGTTGTTAAATTTCTCTAGTGCTGGGCCAAAAATGATTCCATGACAACTGGGGCACAGTTGTTGACATGCCTGAAAGTGACTCTTTATTTTCACCCAGCCAAGTAACTGTGGAGAAGAGTGCTGAACACAGACACTTCCTCATAAATAGGCAGAAAACATATACTACTACTTTACACTTAATGGGTAGACAAGCACCCATCCAGTTGTTTCTAGACAAGTCATTAAAAAGTTAATTTATATGTTTACCCTTCATTGCACAGCGATCCGGTGGACGTTGAGACCCTCAGGAGAGCCGCGGCCAGTAAGGGGGGACTGCTTTCAAATGAACTCCGCAGGAAAGTTTGGCCCAAACTGCTCAACATCAACGTATATGAGCTTCCTTATAAGCCCGGTTAGCGTCAAACTCAAGTATCGTACTTTCGAAAGGGATGAAATGTATAATCCAGGATATGTTGCAGGAAAAGATGGACGGGAGAACCACAAGGACTACAACCAGGTGGTCCTGGATGTCAGTAGATCCATGAAGCGCTTTCCAAAAGGTCCTTCTCCTGTACAGTTTTTGTGTGGTCTATACGGCACAGTAGACATTGACTTTTCAAGCGCTTATGTCACTTGTCTTCTCTGGCAGGTATGCCGTCTGCGGAGCGAGCCGTACTACAGGAGCAGCTGGTGGATATCATTTTGGAGGTTCTGAGGTGCAACCCGCAGCTCAGCTACTATCAGGGCTACCACGACGTGGCTGTCACGTTGCTACTGGTTGTCGGCGAGCGTATGGCTATCGCCATGCTGCATACATTATCCAAATATCATCTCAGGTAGCAAAAAGTATGAGTATTATTTTGTGACATTATTTAACTTCTTACTTAAAATGTTATTTCACCTAGTATTGCATTTGCGCTTGTGGGACTTTCTACATTTACTTTTTTGTATTCTAGCTTTTTTGGTGGAAAATATTGGGCTTTTTAAAAAATATCAGCAGTGTGCTGTCATGACATCTAGATGGCAGCAATGCCTAAGGGATGGAGTTCCTGTGGCAGGTGTTAGTTTGGAGTGGAACAGGACATAAAAACCTTCTGTCTGTGGTGTGATTCATTCATATCAATACACTTGTCGCTGTCTTGGCAGTCTCATACTCTGGGCTAATTTAGCGCACAAAAAAATACATATGTAAAATTCAGGATACACGGAGCTCTGTGATAGAAAGCACAACTGACTCTGTGAAGGAAACAAAGCATAGTGCATAAATCGAGGAAATATTTATTTTGAAAATATTTTTTGCATATTCATGAATTGAGGTTCCACTGTCTTACATTCCCCAATCAACATTTATTTCTGTTTGCAGGGACTTCATGGATCCGACAATGGATAGCACAAAGCACATTTTAAACTACCTGATGCCTATCTTGGAAGAAGTTGACAAAGAGCTGCATGACTTCATGATCAGGTACAAGTCTTTCCATCAATTTTATTTTGTTTTGCAAAATATTGTGAACGCTTTCAAGACTGCATGTCAAAGTGTTTAAAAGTCAAATTGAAAGAGAGAAACTGTCTTTCATATGATTTCATTGTTCATTTGCCTTTTTTTTAGCGTAAGCCTAACCTATAAGACCAAAACTTTTATGTAGAATAAAATTTATATTGTTAACTGTAGTACAGGTTAATTTACTGCTTTTGTTTGTTAAAAACATCTATGGGAAAGAAGATGAAAAAAATAATTGCATATTAAAATCAGGGTCATATTGAGTGGGGAAAGCATTTTCAAAATTGTTCAGTTCTATGTGAGAGACAGAGTTACCATGTCTGACTTAGGTGTTTTGATGTTGTCTATTAGAGCGGAGGTGGGCACCATCTTTGCCCTCTCCTGGCTCATCACGTGGTACGGACACGTCCTGTCTGAGTTCAAACACACTCTGAGACTCTACGACTTCTTCTTGGCCTCACACCCCATGATGCCCATCTATCTAGCTGCGACAGTAAGCAAACCACACACCCGGTCTTCCTGTGAAAGAGGAGATAAGAAATAATTTCATCCTTGCATCAATGCTATTTGAACGTGTTCTGTCCTTCTACCAGATCGTGTTGCACAGAGAGCAGGAAGTGAAGCAGACGGAATGTGACATGGCCATGCTGCACCACCTCCTCTCACGTATCCCCCAGGACCTCCCGTACGAACTCCTGATCAGCCAGTCCCAAGACCTGTTCCGCTGCTACCCTCCTGCCTTGCTGGCTAAGCGGCCTGCGCTACAATCTCGTAAAAGGTTCGGAGCACCCACCAACCAACTAAACATTTCACGCAAAGATCCTGCCAAAAGTGACCAAACAATTTTCCATCATCAGAGGTAGTATCAGAGCCGTAACAAACCGACCAAGGGGCGAGGAGCAATGTCATCTGGTGGCAGTTTTTCATTGGCTGTTGCTTCTAGGCGACGCGCAGTAAAAGGACCACAACTCCTCTGCGATTTTTCGACTTTCCTTCTTCTCGTTAATGGCCATGCTGTAATACCTAATGAATACATTCAAAATCATCCCAAAGGCTCATGTATTAAATTAATTGCATCATAGTTTTAGGAACGTCAAATGTAGCTTCAATAGTTTTCATTTTTTATTTCATTTAAATCAGGGGTCCCCAACCTTTTTTGCCCCACGGACCGGTTTATGTCAGACAATATTTTCAGGGACCGGCAATTAAGGTGTCGGAAATAGCAACAGTGCTACTGTGGCGATCTCAGAATATTCAGCCATAACTTTTATCCAGTTGTCTCGAACGTACTTTTAAGGCCGCTGTCATTTGATCTCCAGCAGTTTTTTTACTCATTTTGCGAGCTCTGGTGTTTTTTTTTTAAGTGGAATCGGTCACGTGACGGGGGAAAGCGTTGCTTGACGTGCGTCAAGCGTGACACAGACGGATGTAACGGAGAATCCGGTAATTTTTCAAAATAAAACATCTTTCGTATTCCGAAATAAAACGGAATTAAGGCAAGTTCTTTCTGTGCGGCCCGGTACCAAATGCCCTGCGGACCGGTACCGGTCCACGGACCGGCGGTTGGGGACCCCTGATTTAAATCATTTTAATAAAAATGTTTTGGCGTTTTAGTTTAGTTTGCTAAAATAACCTGGATCAGAACGGGAAGTCCTAGACTCATACAATTCTTGTTGTTCTCCAGCTTGTCCATAAGCACCTTCAAGGACTTTCAGCTTTCGACACTCCACCAAAGACCGGACACGGTTCTCCAGCGTCTCACCAAGGCTCAGGCCTCTGCCACTTCAAGAAAAGGTACTGATAGAGATATTCTGAGGGTCTCCGTATAATGGTGGCCCTTGTCTCATTTAGTCAGAGAGAAGGCCAATAAAAAAGTAAACAAATGTCGTAGAATGCCACAGCCAAATGGTGTGGTGTCATCACCGAACATTATCCAGACCTTAGGAGTAACCTTCAGCGGGGTTCAACAGTCTGGTCAAACAAAATCAGCAAAGCCCTAATATTTGATTGTCTTTAAAAGCTGAAATCGCAAATCTTGAAACGGAATTAGACTGATCCGCAGACTCTGTGATTTCCCCCAATCAGGAAGCGCACTGAAGCTGGCGCTGTTGCTGGACACAGAGGAGTAAATATTTATGATGAGTAGTTATAAAATTTGTCTCAAGTCATTCGTCACAATAACAATTATAAAGAGAAGATTTTACAACCACAACGCAGGTTATTTATTGACTTATTTATTTTCGTGGTGGTTTTTCTTGTCGGCTCGCGGAGTGTTGAAGTATTTACGTATTGGGTAAGATATTAAAAATCGTTACGTGTCTGCCTTGCTTAGGCAGTTTGTGTTCCATTTCACATGACATTCACATGCAAAGTACTTGGCTCAGCCTAACCTGGTGGTCGTGTTAATAAGAGTGGATGAAAAAAAAATAATCATATCTTTACGCTTCTGTGTCTCTACTTCTGGTGTTGTAATATTCCTCAAACCTTGAAAAAACAAACAAAAACAAAAAAATCCGCATAAAACCCTTCACCCTTGTCATCCTCCTCTTCTTCACCCTTGTTCTGTGCTCGCCGCAGCTCGCCACTCAGGCTTGGACGTGGCTTTACCCTACGACGGGGTCCAGCAAAGGGGTAAGGGGAGCAGGATGGTCAAGATGGCAGTGTGGGGGCTGTCGGCCACACTGGGGGCGGCCATTTTCGCCGTGGCCCAGACGGCCATGGAGTGGGCACCTGATGTGTTGCTGCAGCTCTTCTGATGGGCTTCTTCTTAGCCTCACTGCAAGGACTCGAACCTTGTATCTGAGGAGGACGTAGCTTACCGGGACAAGGTTTAAAGTACTGCCGTTGGCCATTACTTTGCCCTTTGGTTCTTTGTGTGATTTTTATATACCCTTTTCGGTCTTTTTTATCGTTTTTTTTTTTTTTTTTTTGTGCACTTGTGAGAATCTTGAAATATTAAGCAGAGTTGTGCCCAAACACGAACATTTACTTACTCAATATCCTAGTCTCATAGAAACATTATCATTCATTATCTGTAATGGTAACAAAAAGAATTAGAAATTTTTATTTATTCCTCAGAAATAAAGTAGCCTGTCAGAGGACTGTAGAGGACTACAATTGTTTTATACCAGAAAGGGAAATATTAATAATACGTGTGTGTGTGTGTGTGTGTGTGTGTGTGTGTGTGTGTGTGTGTGTGTGTGTTAGCAATGTAGCGATTTTTTTTTTTTTTTTAATGTCTGCTCCATGTACGGACGTCTTTGCCCCTGAAATATTCATCAGCTTTTACGACCGCGTGCCCGCTGCATTTGTTTGCTAAGCACAGCCTCGACCTCACTTGTTTTTGCCCTTTTGGTCAGGCTAAACGTTGCCCAATAATGTGTACGACAGTTTTTGTATAGTACTTATTGATTTTCATGCGCCAGGTTTAGTGCCAGTTGGATGCTCCGATGACTGGTGCTTTACACCAGGGGTCCCCAACCGCCGGTCCGCGGACCGGTACCGGTCCGAGGGGCAT